TTGGTAGATCGAGAGAGGTTGTAATTCTTATTTTCTCATAGTGAAATTCTTCTACCGTTGCCCGTGGTTTTTACCCTAAATATTTTAGGGGTTTTCCACGTAAATTTTGTGTCTCTTTTATCTTCATTTTTATTTTCTCAAATTATCAGTTGCGATTTTGCTCTATCCGATAGCCGTCTTTCGCAACAATTGGTATCCGAGCTAGATTATAGTGTGTAATATATGCTTATTGTCTTTGTAGTTGCCACCAAAAGGTGGATCCTCCACCATAAGAAAATAAGAAGTTATTACCCATTCTTTGAAGGTTCCAGGGAACTATTCACGATAGTGAAATAGTGGGAGCTATCCGTAGAAGAAGCTATGGCAACGAAATTTGATATTGAAAAATTCAATGGAAGAAATTTCTCATTGTGGAAATTGAAGATGAAAGTCATCCTAAGGAAAGACGGGTGTCTAGCGGCTATCAATGAAAGGCCGGTGGATTTCGTAGATGACATCAAATGGAACGAGATGGACGGGAATGCTATGGCAAACTTTCATCTAGCAATAGCAGATGAAGTATTGTCAAGCATCGAGGAGAAAAAGACAGCTAAAGAGATATGGGATCATCTCATCAAATTGTACAAGGCCACATCGCTGCACAATAAAATTTTCCTTAAGAGGAAATTGTACACTCTCCGTATGCCAGAATCTACTTCAGTGACGGAGCACTTAAATACACTGAACACCTTATTTTCTCAGCTTACATCCTTAAGCTGTAAAATAAGAGAACAAGAACGTGCTGAACTTCTACTTCAAAGTCTACCGGATTCGTACGATCAACTCATCATCAACTTGACAAACAGTAATGTCACCAGTCTAGTCTTCGATGACGTTGCAGCTGATGTTCTACAAGAAGAAAATCGGCGCAAGAACAAAGAAGACAGACAAGTAAATCTGCAACAAGCAGAAGCATTAACAACGATGACAACGATGAGAGGGAGATCAACAGAATGTGGTCAAAGCAGCAGTCACAAATATGGTAGATCGAAGTCGAGGAGCAAGAAGAATTTAAAGTGTTACAACTGTGGAAAGAAGGGTCATTTGAAGAAGGATTGTTGGAGTCTAAATAAAAACTCCAATCCACAAGGCAATACCGCAAACACTTCAGATGATGGAGATGCTCTATGCTGTGAAGTGTCAACCACCGTGGAAGGAAGAAAACGATTTACAGATATATGGCTCATTGATTCGGGAGCAACATATCACATGACCTCAAGAAGAGAATGGTTCCATCATTATGAACCTGTCTCAGGAGGATCTGTTTATAGTTGCAATGATCATGCCTTAGAGATCGTTGGCGTGGGAACCATCAAATTGAAGATGTATGACGGAACAATTAAAGTTGTTCGAGATGTGCAGCACGTGAAAGGCCTGAAGAAAAATTTATTATCCTATGGATTGTTGGATAATAATGCAAGCAAGATTGAAACACGGAAAGGAATCATGAAAGTGTTCCGTGGAGCGCTTGTGGTGCTGAAAGGCGAAAAAATATCTGCAAACTTGTACATGCTGAAGGGAGAGACTTTGGTAGAAGCAGAAGCCTTTGTTGCCTCATGTAGTTCAGATTCGGCAATGCTATGGCATCAGACACTTGGACACATGTCAGAACAAGGAATGAAAGTCCTTGTGGAGCAAAAGCTACTTCCAGGCTTAACAAAGGTATTACTTCCTTTGTGTGAGCATTGCATAACAAGTAAGTAGCACCGCTTGAAATTCAACACATCAAATTCTAGAGGCAAAAGTGTTCTAGAATTGGTTCACTCTGACGTATGGCAAGCACCAGTAATGTCCCTAGGTGGAGCAAAATACTTTGTCTCATTTATTGATGACTACTCCAGGAGATGTTGGGTGCACCCTATTAAGAAGAAGTCAGACGTGTTTTCAACTTTCAAAAACTTCAAAGTGCGGGTGGAACTTGATTCTGGAAATAAGATCAAGTGTTTCAGAACAGATAATGGAGGAGAATACACAAGCGAAGAATTTGATGACTTTTGCAAGAAAGAATGCATCAAAAGACAGTTCACAGTGGCGAACACTCCTCAACAAAATGGAGTGGCAGAGCGGATGAACAGAACCTTGTTAGAAAGAACAAGAGCAATGTTGAGGGACACATGCCTAGAAAAATCATTCTGGGCAGAAGCAGTCAATACCGCCTGTTATTTGGTGAATCGAGCTCCATCAACTGCAATAGAGCTGAAGACACCAATGGAGATGTGGACTGGTAAACCAGTTGATTATTCAAACCTCCATGTATTTGGAAGTATTGTGTAGGTGATGTACAACGCCCAAGAAATTTCAAAGCTGGATCCAAAATCCAGGAAATACAAATTCTTGGGGTATGCTGATGGAGTAAAGGGGTATCGCTTGTGGGATCCCACTGCCCGCAAAGTGATCATTAGCAGGGATGTTATCTTTGTAGAAGATAAACTACAAAGAAAAGAAGACGATGATAGCGCTGAAAAGTCAGAGACTACTCAGATACATGTGGAAAAAGAGTTTGAAGAAGGAGATTCTTCTGATGCAGAACCAGCACATGATGAACAAGAACCAGAGAGTTCTGAAGCTCCAATAACTCGTCAATCAGATCGTGTGAGAAGACGTCCCAATTGGCACTCAGATTATGTTATAGAAGGTAATATTGTATATTGCCTTTTAACAGAGGACGGTGAGCCATCAACATACCAGGAGGCAATAAACAGCTCAGATGCTTCACTATGGATGATGGCGATGCAAGAAGAAATCGAAGCCTTTCATAAAAATAATACATGGGACCTTGTGCCACTACCACAAGGAAGGAAGCCAATTGGTAACAAATGGGTTTTCAAAATCAAGCGAAATGGTGACGATCAAGTGGAGAGGTATCGTGCAAGACTAGTGGTCAAAGGATATGCTCAGAAAGAAGGTATTGATTTCAATGAAATTTTTTCTCCTGTGGTTCGACTAACAACAGTTCGAGTAGTCTTGGCAATGTGTGCTACATTGAATTTACATTTGGAACAGTTAGATGTTAAAACAGCTTTTCTTCATGGAAATCTTGAAGAAGAGATTTATATGCTCCAGCCTGAAGGTTTTGAAGAAGACGAAAAGAAGAACTTGGTTTGCAGGTTGAACAAATCTCTGTACGGTCTAAAGCAGGCGTCGAGGTGTTGGTATAAGAGATTTGATTCCTTCATTATGTGCCTTGGATACAACAGACTTAATGCAGACCCTTGTGCTTATTTCAAGAGGTCTAGTGATAACGATTTTGTTATATTGCTGTTGTATGTGGATGACATGTTGGTTGCAGGACCTAACAAAGATCATATTGAAGAATTGAAGGCACAACTGGCTAGGGAATTTGAAATGAAGGACTTGGGATCAGCAAACAAGATTCTAGGGATGCAAATTCACCGAGACAGAAGTAATAGGAAGATTTGGCTTTCACAAAAGAATTACTTGAAGAAGATCTTGTCACGATTCAGCATGCAAGATTGTAAGCAAATTTCTACCCCTCTTCCTATTAACTTCAAATTATCCTCCAGTATGAGTCCCAGCAGTGAAGAAGAGAGGATGGAGATGTCTCGAGTACCGTATGCATCAGTAGTGGGAAGTTTAATGTTCGCTATGATATGCACAAGACCAGACATTGCACAAGCAGTGGGAGTGGTTAGTCGGTACATGGCGAATCCAGGCAAAGAGCATTGGAATATTGTAAAGAGGATCCTAAGATACATCAAAGGGACCTCAAATGTTGCATTATGTTACGGAGGATCAAACTTACTAATCAATGGGTATGTAGATTCTGACTATGCAGGAGATTTGGATAAAAGCAAATCTACTACAGGATATGTGTTCAAAGTTGCTGGTGGAGCTGTAAGCTGGGTTTCAAAATTGCAGTCAGTTGTGGCTACGTCCACAACAGAGGCAGAATATGTAGCAGCTACATAAGCCAGTAAAGAAGCAATTTGGTTGAAGATGCTATTGGAGGAGCTTGGGCACAATCAAGAGTATGTCTCTCTGTTTTGTGATAGTCAAAGCGCCTTGCATCTAGCAAGAAATCCAGCATTTCATTCAAGGACAAAGCACATACGAGTTCAATACCATTTCATTCGTGAAAAAGTGGAAGAAGGGACGATAGATATGCAGAAGATCCATACCAAAGACAACATAGCAGATTTCATGACGAAGGCGGTCAACACTGATAAATTTACCTGGTGTCGATCCTCTTGTGGCCTGTCAGAGACGTAAGCAACATAATGGTACAAGGTAGAAAGAATGGTGTGAAGATATGATTGTTCCAATCAAATCTTCAAGTGGGAGATTGTTGAAATTTCAACAAATTATTCGGTGCATTAATGCACCGAATGTGCAAGTGGAATTGTGGAGTCAAAAGTAGCTGCAAATTGTTGAAATAATAAAGGCATAACTACCAAATTGAGTCCCTAAACTTTAGGGTATTTACAAGATTAGTCCTCAAGTTTCAACTATAAATATCCTAGCTCATTTAGCTTCAAAATCATCCCAAAGCATTCTAGCTTTCTTCCAATACTAGAGAGATTTTAGAGAGTTTCTTGAGAGTTGTTTTTTCCTTTTTATCTAGAGAGAATTATCATTGTTTTCTCCTTGGTAGATCGAGAGAGGTTGTAATTCCTATTTTCTCATAGTGAAATTCTTCTACCGTTGCCCGTGGTTTTTACCCTAAATATTTTAGGGGTTTTCCACGTAAATTTTGTGTCTCTTTTATCTTCATTTTTATTTTCTCAAATTATCAGTTGCGATTTTGCTCTATCCGATAGCCGTCTCTCGCAACAATATTCTCATTTTAGTTTCTGCTTTAGATGAATTTTTCTTTTAAATCATCTCAGACAGAACCAAAGAGAATTTGAATCACATAATTCTAACATTATTCATTTGTATAAATTATAATTCGTATACAAAGAAGACCCAATGTTGTTATTGAAGTTGGGATTTCCATTAACAAACTAGCAATCAATTTATCATTTAAAAATTTCAAAAGAAATGGCTTGGAAAGAAACTGGTGGCATGTGCTTATGAAGATAACAAGGAAGTGAAGCTAATAAGAACATCAACTGCATTTTGAGCTGCCAAAGAGGCAAACGCAGAGGCTTCATTGGACAAGGCAGAAACCCCAACGGCTAAATCAGACAAGGATCTGAATGCAATGAAGGGCGTGTTTTGTTGGTGAGAGACAAGGGCAACTGCAGCCGTCTCCATGTCGATTGCTGTTGCATTGAACTTGGCGTTCAACAACTCACGATAAGCTCTGTTGTCCACAAAGATGTTGGAGCTGATCCCTCTTTCTACTCTCACCACCATCGGTGGTCTTGGTAAGCAAGTTGCATTCGCGCATCCACCAAGTCTCAAAACCTGATCTCTTAAAAGTATTAATATCGTACCTCATTTCATTAACTCAATTGTTAGTTTGAAACATTAAACAAATATGATACGAATCGCATTTAAAACACGTGTACCTTTATAATGACTAATTTTTAACACGTCAAATCTGAAGCGATTAAGCCTTTTCTTGTTTATGATTTTAACTTTTACCTCAACTCTTTCTGCAGTGGCAAAGTAGTGGTTGTTGACTGGAACCCAGAACGCATGCTGTCTTTGTTCTGGAACCCCATCCACTGAGAATATCTCTTCAGCTTGGTACCACACATTGTTGAGCAGATTCTCTGAAGAAATGTTGCATTTTGTGCTGTTGTTGTAATCAGAGAACCTAAGGTAACCAATTTCTTTGGTGTAGTCTCCATTTGATTCTAGAGCTAGCACATCTTCAACTCCATCTCCATACCTCTTTCAGCATTTAACAATTTTTAGAAATATGGTCATTATTACAAATAAATTTTAAATAGGATGAGATCAATATGAGAAATATCAAAATTAAATTAAATTCGGATGAGCAAGAAGCCCACTTTCTTTTGTGTGTTCTTATACTATAGTACACTGTCGATAGATAAAATAATTTAAGAGATTAAATTATTTATAACGTTAGTATATTTTCGTACATTGGTGGTGAATAAAATGAAATTATGTATAACGTGGAAGGAGTCATGACATGACCTTCAACAGTTTTGGATTTAATTTTTATTTAGGTCCCTCTTAGTTTTGAAACTAATTAAGTCTTAACCTATTTTTTTCGATTTAAATACTTTTTAGGTCCCTTTTAATTTCAAAATTAAAAAAAATAGATCATAACCCTCCCTTTTTAATTTTAATTTGATGATTTAATAAATAGATTTTGATCATCATTTTATCCGTACTTATATTTGTCCATACGAAGTTTCATCATGACTATGTCATTACGTGTATAAGGATTTGTTTTTAGTCTATTGATAATTAAATTATTTTTGGAATAAGGATCATGCGCTTTTAAGTTGGCTCAAACTTTCTTCTTGAATGTTACAATAACAATCATACCAATCGAACTAAGATTCGATTAGTTGATAATTAGATTTTTTAATTAGGTGTAAATAGTGTAATTGTTGCATCCTTAAATGTATCAAAAATAAATCTTTTTACTTTAGGAGATTGACCGGTTGATGGGGCAATCCAACAGGGTTGGTTCCCTTAAATTAAGCACATCTTAGAGAAATAATTAGATTTTAAACATCATTAGATTCCTTATTAGTTAACCTTTAGATCTTTCATTTCAACCCCACCTTGATTTTCTTACTATTTAAATTGTTAACCACTCTTAAATCAACCCCATCCTTGTAAGATAATGTAAACTATTTAAATTAAAACACTAATACTATAACTTTAAGATTGTTTATGCTTGACATTTTGATTTCCCTAACAAACATACCTAAGGGTTGGCATACCATATTACCGGGTTCAAGTTATATAGAGATACTAGGAAATCGTTCAATTATCACCGTTTTTAGTATAAAGCTATGGGTTTTTTTTTTAAATTTAAAAAAAAGGAAAAGTGGGTTGGTTAGGGTTTATCACAATTAGTTTTATCGCAATTAAATTGTGACCTATCTTTGGAGGATGAGAGTGTCTATGAATAAAATAGAATTAACCGAATGGTCTAAAACAAGAGTAGATCAACAAGAATACCAAATATATGTCAAATGAAAAAGAGACGTTGAATCTAACATTGAGAAAAGAAAATAAATATTACACTGACAAATAAAACTATCCACTATTTTCACAAGAATATGAAAAAACTAATCAAACAACATAAAATAGCAAAACTCATATGCAAAACAAAACATAAAAATTTAACAAAGTTTGGAGGAAGAGAAATGAGAAAACGAGGAAAGAAATAATCAAATCAATCTAAGACTAATATTGTCATTAACCATGAAAAATACCACAAGTAAAGTTATTATATGTACACATTGATGATGTTGTATACAATTTCCATTTATAATATGCAATTTGTCAAAAAGGAACTTTTGGACGAGAATAATGGAATCAAATCGGCACCATGAAATTGACTTGGCAAAATATGTAAATGTTTTTTTGGTGGATTCTTTAGAATTCATGAATCCCAAAGAAGAAAACATTATCCATGGCATTTTTGTTCATTCTTAAAGCAGTCATAGCCTTTCCAATTTCGTTGGTGATTTGTCAGCCTAAACCCTCAAATCCTATCATATATAATTCCCATCATGCAAGTGTTTTTCCTTTTGGGCAAACCATTTTCTATTGATCATCTTTGTCCAGTGGGAGATCCAATCTCTTCTTTTGTTCCATCTAAATGGCGGTCAACTAATACATGTTGTATGCTTTCTAATGTTTTACATGGAAAGAAAGGAAGAATATCAATGGTACGATGAAGATCAGTTTATATACATAAGTTTTGCTCTAATGGAACATTTCATCTGCTGATTCATTGGAGCGTGAGCCAGGGCCACTAATAATATGATGAGTGGGATTTGCAATCCTCTACATTCACCAATTAACTGTTGCATTATTAGTCTTATGTTTAAACAATACTAGTTTGAATTTTAATTTTTGTTGATAAATTTAAGTTCGATTCAATTTTTTTGGGTTTAAGTTGTTTTGAGTTAGACTCATTTTGGGTTTAGGATATTCGAATTTGTGACTAGTCATATCGAGCCTAAATCATTTCGATTTTTGTCATTCTAATTTGGTATTTGAGTTTGATTATTTTAGGTTAAGTCATTTTGGGTTTATATATATTGATCATTTCGGTTTCTGATGTTTGGACGTTTTAGTTGGACTTATTTTGGATTCAAAACATTTTTTAATTCAAATTATTTTAGGATTTGAATTAGACAGGTTCTAGTTGTTGACTTTTGTTAGATAGTATGACCTCAATTTTGTTTTTGGTTTGCCCTAGAAGTTCACAATACAACTTGTTTGGTGAAGAATCAAAACCAAGAGAAGAAGGAATTTTGTGTGGATTCGTCGTGTTGCAATAGTGGGATTCAAAACATATTTTCAACGTAATGAATTTCTTCTCCATTGTTTGTGTTTTTTCGTTTAGGATTTTTCATGTAAATATGTGTTCTTGCTTTGCGATCTTGTTCGTCATTATTTTTCCGATTTCATAACAATTTCTAATGATTAAATTGAATTGAACATAATTTGAATTCAATTTAATCATATCAAATTTTTGGATTTTGATCATAATCGAAGTCTAAGAGAGAGAAAATACACGCCAAGATTCAGATTTCAAACTTAGTGATCATAATTTTTTAAGCATAATTGAACTTACACGAATGAAGCGGGTTAAGCTGTAAACACTTTAGTGAGTGATCACAATCTATGTCCGATCACTTCTGCATGAATTAAGGAAAATCAAAACATGTGCTCACTTTGTGGAACACAAAACAATCTGACTGTAATCCCTCTCTCCAATGGGTCTAAATCGAATATACAGCAACCCCATTAGCCAATTCGCCCATTGTTTTTGTTTCCGAGGTGCAACATGAAGTGGGTCAAACATTGTGGCTCGCTCAAGGGAAGGTCCTAGACTCCTAGTCCAAGCTAGTAATTTAAAAACCTCAAATCAGAGCTGTTTTACATTCGTAAAGGTGGATATTTTAGACAAGAATGTCTCACAAACCATGTGCAGAAATGCGCCCCACGTGGGCTACGGCATGCGTGTGGGTCTATTAAGTTTGGTCCCTGGTTTTAGAATGTTCCAGCTCAAACCATTAGGGATAGGATATCAAGTCCCATACACAAAGGGCAAATTCCAAACATACATACTAGGAAATTTAAAATATATATGCATGCCTTTTAAAGCAAAGCAAGTACCCTCCTCCCTACCCATAGGGGAACTTTTGTTTCTTCCATGTTGCGTTTTCGTATCAATGTCTGCATGCAAATGACAATGTGAATATTACAGGTTCTTTGCATCACATACCTTCTCTATTGGAATATTAGCTTTGTCAGTGCGTGTGAGGCAAGTAGCTGGCCTTTTCACACATATATACATATGTATGTATGTATGTATCTTTCTCTGGTATTCCTTTTGACAGTTAAACCAGCAAGCACTGCAAATTTTAACTTTTGAGCTTTGTTGTATATTCTGAACCAGGAATACCCCCCGCCCGCCCCATCTCAAAAGGCCGATATAGCTGTTCAAAAAGTTTGGCTTTTTGGCATGATTCGATCTTCATATATATATTATAGAGAAAATAACCTCAGTGACCAAAAATCTCATATAATATACGATTTTAACCAACTTTTTCCGGATTTGCCAAAATGACCAACAAAATCGCAATGCGATCGCTAATTCGCAACGCGATCTCCATTATCGCAAATTCGCGTTGCATTTCGCGTTGCGATAGTTGAAAATCGCGTTGCGATGGTCTACAGTGTCGTTGCGATTTTCCCAATTCGCAATGCGAATAAGTAAATCGCAACGCGAATTGGGAAAATCGCAATGCGATACTGACTATCGCAATGCGATACTTACTATCGCAATGCGATAATACAAAATCGCAACGAGATACTGACTTTCGCAATGCGATTCTGACTTTCGCAACGCGATAATACATAATCGCAATGCGATTTTCAAAGCGCCATTAGTATCCTGGCCAAGTATTTTATTTTTAAATTCCAAACACGAATATTAATATATTGGAACACTGAACCGTCCACAGTATATTCCGTAATCGCAACTCATAACCTAAAACCTAAAATCACAACTCAGTCCCATCTCCATCTCTCACTCTCTCACCCATCTTCGACGAAATCCGTCCCCATCTCCAGCGAAATCCGTCTATCTCCATCTCTCAGAGCCACCCTCATAATCAGAAATGGAAAATCAACCAAATCAACCAACGAGGGTTAGTTTTTTTAATTATTTTCTTTTTGAAATTTTTGCATTATTATTAGGTTTTTCATATTGAAATTGATGATAAGTTTACTGGTAATTTCAATAATAGATTAACCATTTCACTTAGATTGCTTATTAAATCAACCGAGAATCGCAACGCGAAATGCAAATCGCAACGCGATTTTAGTTTCGCGTTGCGATTCTCTCGTTGCGATAGTCAAATTCGCGTTGCGATAGTCATTTTCGTGTTGCGATTTTCATTTTCAGAAACTATTCTTCTTCTGCAAATTGAAACTTGAATGAATTGCATTACTTCAACCAAAAAACAAAGACAAATACGAAATTCACAGTGTTGCAAATTTAAGTTTGAAGAATAAACTACTACTCTTTATGTTTATTATTGTTTTTGGTATATCTTCACAGTGTAGTTTTTGGTATATCTAATTTAGTATGTTTATTGTTTTTGTAGAACTTTTATTCGGCTCAATTGACCTTAAGAAATAAAGTCAGCCTGGCCAAAACAATTGCGTCGAAGCTTTCACCTGCACAAAGAAAAATGTTTGAGGATACATGCTTCGGGCCATGGCTGAAAGTACAACATCCCGGTGGAGATGCGATTATGACACACCTGTTTCTTCAAACCATGACTAGCGATCTACCAGAGACTATACAACGTCGTGATGAAGAGATATGGTTTGATTTTCCACCGGCGTATACGTGTTTTGGGCGGGAGGAGTTTTGCTTAATCATCGGTCTACGCTTCGGACACGATGATGTAGGTCGGTACACTAGACACATTACCCGACCATCATGGCTATCCCGGGTTTTTCTTGAGCTGGAGAGGCCGAATCTACACGTAGAAGACCTGACAAGATTGTTGAATAAGAAAGATGGTTTTACTCGGATGGATGACGTCGACGTTGTCCGAGTATGCCTTCTAATTCTTTTGCATGCCGGTTTTTTAGGCAGAGAGGCCAGACAACCTATTCCAAATGATCTAATCAAATTGGTAGAAGACCTAAATGCGTGGAACCTGTTTCCGTGGGGCTCGTATTTATGGAAAGCTACATGGAATAAGTTATCGTCTGCCTTGGATGATCGAAAAAGTTTGCATGGCGATGGTTCCAAATACACTTTGACATGCTTTATTTGGGCCTTTAAGGTAAGAATTTTTATATAATGTTTCCAAAATTATAAGTAATTATTTAACAATTACTAATGTTTGTTATTATATTGTTTGTAGATTTGGATATTTGAGGTCTTTCCCGCCATGAAGACATATGCAATAAAAACTTCAAATGATATTCCCAGGGCTATTTCCTGGAAGAGGAAACGGACCTTGCAATGGGAAGATTTACTACGGTATACGACAATAAATAATGTAAGTTAACATAAATACTACCATATGTTTATAAACAAGTTATTACTAGTATACGTTTAACTTTGTTTGAGCTTTTATATTGTTAGGAGGCCAACACTCCTCTACAGAGGCTGACACCCACGGAAGCTGAGCTTGCCACTGATTGGTGGCAAGCTAGTAAGCGTTTTTTTGATGGAACGGTTGATGAGCAGCCTCCACTTCGGGAGCCATCACCTCGCCCAGAGCTATTACCTCACCCAGAGCCATCATCTGATCGACCCGACTATACACCTCCACAACGACAGCCATCACCTATTCTGTCACATCATCGAGCCTCTTCTCCACCATCACCGCAAGATAGGCGACCGGCAAAGATGTCACGACGTTTATCTCCCTGTTCTCCACCTCCACCTCAACGGGATGAGTTAGGGGAGTTACGTGATGAGGTCAATGCCTTGCGTGAGGAGGTCGGTACTTTACGCAAAGACGATGGTGCATGGCGTGTTGAGGTGTCTACATTACGCGGTGAGGTAGCCGCTCTATGTGAGATGGTAGCATCGTTGCAGAATGAGGTTCATACTCTACGCAACGAGGTAAGTTTAAGATTTTTCATACTCGTAATTCATTCGATTGCTGTCAATATTGTTAAACTGTTTTTGTTAGTATTTGTTTTTGGTTTTGTTTTTGTCTTTTGGTTGAAGTAATGCAATCCATTCAAGTTTCAATTTGCAGAAGAAGAATAGTTTACTTTCGCAACATGAAAATGACTATCGCAACGCGGAAATGGCTATCGCAATGCGAAATGAAAATCGCAATGACAAAATCGCAATGCGAAATGAAAATCGCAACGACAAAATCGCAATGCGAAATGAAAGTCGCAATGCGATTTATGTTTCGCATTGCGATTTTGTCGTTGCGATTTCATTTCGCATTGCGATTTTGTCGTTGCGATTTTCATTTCGCATTGCGATTTTGTCGTTGCGATTTGCATTTCGCATTGCGATAGCCATTTCCGCGTTGCGATAGTCATTTTCGCGTTGCGATTTTAAGTTTCGTGTTGCGAAAGTAAACTATTCTTCTTCTGGAATGTTTATATATGTTGTCCTTTTAAATGTTTATATAAGTGTTTACTTCTGGAATATTATCTGAGCATTTTGTGAACTATGATAGAATAATGACTTGGGTGAATACAATGCTAGTTTGAAACATATTTGTCTTTGTTTAATATCATGTCTGTTTATTTACTGATTATTGTATTAATTTTTTTTAACGGCCCGATAAGGTGGATACTTTACGTCGGGTTTTCCTTGCACGACGGAGTTCACGCATCAGACGGCGTGGACGTGCTATTACGTCTCCGTTCACTCCAATGGTGTGAAGACTCCGTAAGAAGAAGCCCGACTCACCTGTCATCCCTCAAGAGTCCCCTCTAATCGTTCAAGAGGCCCATATCCTCCCTCAAGAGTCCCCCCCACCGTTCAAGAGGCCACTGTCATCGTTGAAGAGGTCACTCCCACCATTCCAGAGCCCGATTCACATGGGGTAATATATCAAAGTATTGAGAAACCCCCACCGGTTTCGGACATGATGGATGAGAGTTGGCTCTCGTATGAGTTACCGACTAGTACCCTTCCGGTATCTGAAATGGAGAGGAGACAACTACCGGAAACAATTGTGGATAATACCCTTTGGGCTAAGACCGCAGTTGATTTTTATCTACATGAGCGGAGCCAAGGGTGTTACACTGACATAAGCAAACTCAACGATGAAATGTTTTTGTTGCTTGATCGGTCTTGGTGGGGTGTGCTATTAGGGGTTGAAGACAGTGGCTATTTCGATGGGGAGGTAAGTCTTATATTTGACTTATATATGATTTTGATTAATTTTTTTAAAAATTAATGTAATTCACTAATATATGTTTTTTTTTTTGTAAAACAGCATATCGATGCGTGGGTGTCACGTCTTCTAATAATAAGGAAGCTTAGGAAAAATAAAAAAAAAATCGCGATATACAATAATGTCGGCGGCTTTTCACGCAGTTCACTTGAAGAATCAACGAGATGAATCATTTTCGTTGGGCAACGGACAAGCTAAACTTTATCCTGCATGGTGGGAGGTCGATAAGGTTAGTGAATAATGATGATTGTCCCTTGTTCCCATATGTAATGGGGTAAGGGGGAGGTAAGATAGTAGGCTACCCCCAACACTAGGTTGAGAGCAACTTCCGTAGGAGACCTCCAAATTATGAAATACCCTCCATGGGACTCGATCCCACGACCTCAAGGTTAAGAACCTTGTG